GGCCTTTGGTTTTGTACACCGTAATTCTTTATTATATAAACTCCTTTTGAATAATGTAAAAGGAAAGTTTCTTAGAGTTGTTAAAAATATGTATGATGATGTTAAATCACGTATTGTACATAATAATAATTTATCTGACATGTTTGCAAGTGAAATAGGTGTTCGACAAGGGGAAAATCTGTCTCCTTTGTTATTCTCTCTATATTTGAACGATTTGCAGCAGTACTTAGAAAATGTTAACATTAGTGGTGTACAATCTTTAACATTGGATATAGAAAATGAACTAAATATATACCTTAAACTGTTTGTATTATTATATGCCGATGATACTATTTTACTTGCTGAATCAAGTTCAGATTTACAGTTACTTTTAAATAATTTTTCACAGTATTGTAATAATTGGAAATTAGGAATCAATGTTAGCAAAACCAAAGTGATGGTTTTTACAAGAGGAAGAATATCAAATAATTTGAAGTTTTATATTGAAAAAGAAGAAATAGAGATAGTTAAACATTATAAATACCTTGGTGTTATTTTCTCTAGAAGTGCATCTTTTTTCGAAACTAGGAAATATTTACGAGACCAAGCAACTAAAGCTATGTACAGTGTTATCAAGAAGAGCAGATTAAACCACAGTGACTTATCGACTGAATGCCAACTAAATATGTTTGATAAAGCTGTTGTACCCATTCTTCTATACGGGGCTGAAATTTGGGGATACGAAAATTTTGATATACTTGAGCGAGTGCATTTGAAATTCTGTAAGCACATTTTAAAACTTAAAAACTCGACTCCAAGTTTAATGATTTATGGAGAACTTGGGAGATACCCTATTTCTTTATATGCTAAACTACGAATGATCAACTTTTGGTGTCGCCTTCTTGATAATACAAATGAAGATAAATTATCCTGTTTACTTTATAAACTATTATACATTAATTGTAACAATTATGGTATTGGAAATAAATGGATGTTATTTATTAAATTAAGAAAATATTTGATGAATGTGGCATGTCAAATGTATGGCATTGCCAAGATTATTTTAACAAATAAAATTAAGTATTGAGCAAAAGCTAAAAGACCAATTTCGACAAGACTAGTTTGCAGATTTACATCAATCCTCGAAAAGTTTATGTTATAGAATTTACAAGACCGAATTTAAATTTGAAAAGTATTTATCGATTTTGCCTTTTAATTTTTTATATACTTTGTGTAAATTTAGATGTGGAAATCATCGTTTGCCAGTGGAGACGGGAAGGTGGCAAACTATTCCGAGATCAGAAAGGTCTTGTCACCTCTGCAGCTCTACAGATATTGGCGATGAATTTCACTACATAATGTCATGCAATTTTTTCAACATAGAAAGAGAAAAATATTTACCACATTATTGTAACAAAAATGCTTACATTATTAAATTTAATCATATATTCTCATCTGAAAATGTTGTTGAACTAGAAAAATTTTGTAGATTTATACGATACATATCATTGAAAGTCTGTCCTCCTGGTTAGAGGAACTGTAATATTATTATATTGTTATTTATTTTCACACATGCGAAACATAATATGTATTATATATGAACTGTTATTTTCTCTGTAGCTATGTACTAGTTTATTAGAATAAAATCATTCATTCACTAGAATGCTGATGTAATAATGTATTTTAACTTGATATTGCAAAACAAACAACAATTACATTGTTTATTTAAGAAGATTTAAAATATAAAAATAATGTCGGACAATCAGAACTTTTCATGTGGGACTATCAGAACTCTAAAATTTTAAAAAGTGGGACAATCGGGAATAAACCCTTGAAATAGTCTAATTTTAATTAGAGGCTATCAGGATCATGTATCAGTCACCTGATATTTTTTAATGAGATTGATGTACTGCAATAAGAACATTTTCGTGACTCATTAAAAAATATTTTGGTTTTTCATATACATGCAAGGTGAATAAGCTCTTTAGTTTTTTTACAAAAAAAGAATTTGTAAGAAGTAGCATTTCCTGTTTAATTTTAAGCAAATTATTTATTTTAATCAATAAGTTTGCCTTAAGAAGAAATGTCAAAAGTATGTTTTTAAATTATGTCACTTTGTTATCTCTTTTTGATACTTATATCAATTCTTTATTGAGTTATGCAAGCGAAATATGGGGTGCACATAAAGCCCCGGCAATAGAGAGAGTCCACATGAACTATTGTAAAAATATACTTGGTGTAAAATTGTCTACTAACAATGTTATGATATATCAAGAACTAGGTAGATTGCCTCTTATTTTCACAAGAAAATGCAAGATTTTCAAATATTGGTTTAAATTGCTAAATACTTCTAACTGTATATTGAAAAATTGTTACAATTACTTATATTGCGAATTAGAGAGATGTCCAAATAATAAGTGTAACTGGTTGTATTTTATAAAGAATGAACTCTTTGTTATAAGTTTAGGTGATGTATGGTATAGCCAAAACCTTATTTCAGACTTGCCTGATGTATATTTTGCTGTTATAAAGCAACGGATCATCATGTATGATTGTCTTAATCAAGAACTTGATGCTCAGTTGTTTACTTCTCAAAAATGTTCTAATTATAAATATATGTTAGATAATTTTTGTCTGCAATTTTATTTATGTAAACCAATTCTAAGGTTTACAAAACATGTATAACAAAAATAAGATTAAGTAGCCACAACTTAGCTATAGAAAATGGAAGATTTTATGGTATAACAAGAAATAATAGAACATGTACTTTTTGTAAAAATGATATAGAGAATGAGTTTCATTTCATCCTCAAATGTCCATTTTTTCAAGGTTTTAGAACAATTTACATTAAGCCATATTATTGGAAAAAACCATCGATGTACAAATTTATTTAACTAATGAGTTCAAACAATGTAAAAGAGCTGTGTAATTTAGGTAAATTTATATTTAGATCTTTTAAGTTTAGAACCGAAATGTTAAAATAATGTTTATGTATTACTACAACACCTTCTGCTATTCTGTCACATAGTTTTGTGTTTATGTATTTATTGTATGTATTATTGATGTTGGTGTAATTCAAATGTGTACCTATAGTTTATATAGACTTTGGTAATAAAGATATAATTATTCAAGCACACCATATTTCATTGTGCTTGACAGAAGTCAAAATTGCATCTTTGTTCATCATCTTTAACACAAGCAATATGTAGATTTCCCAATCTATGGGCAATTACTTTGATTTTATAATGTCATTAATTATAAATACAAGGAAACAGATAATTAGGAGATAACATTTATAAAACGAGATACTCTACGTATGATTGTGGTCAAGTTTGGTTCAAAACTGCCTAGTAGTTTGAAAGTGTTTTTTTTGTAAAAGTTATCGGACGACAGACGACTGACGCCAAAAATGAGAAAAACTCACGTGACCCTTTTTACTCAAAATGTATATGTTCAAACTTGATTACTAACTGCTGTTTTTTTAAAGATTTTGTTAGTGTTATTGAACTTTCGAAATATCGACTTGACAATCAATCAAACTATCAAATCATCGTGAACATAACATGTGTTTCAATTGTGGTTCCAATTGAATATTTATCTACCTGCATAGCCCAATAAGTTGTGTTCTGCTGGAAACTGTTGGCTGAAATCTTCTCGAATAATGCCACCAGACAGAAAAAATCATTTTTTTAATTTTTGTGGCGATTGGTAATCTACGATGACCGCCACCGAAGGAAAGAGTTTACAAAGGACCACGTGACGTGGGAAATAAATACAAACAGCTTTTTCGAATAAACCGTTTTACAGATTGAATTGATAATAAATGCCTGACTTATTGTATGATGGTTTACAAAATACTAAGGATTTTCTACCCCAGGAATAGATTTTGGATCCTCAATGCTTTTCAATTTCGTACTTTATTTGGTCTTTTTGACATTTTTATTCGATCGTCACAGGTGAGTCTTTAATAGAAGAAAGTAAAATAACAAAATATCGAACTCCAAGGAAAATTCAAAACGGATGTCATATTCCGGCCTTGGTACATGCGTCTGGCATTCATAATTGTAATCCTGGTATCTATGAGGAGTCTATGGTCCTATACTTAGTCTGCAATGTTGAAAATCCAAGATAGCTTCCACTTCAGAACATTGTTAACACAAGACCAATAGGAAAACAAATCTTTTTCTTAAGTATCGTTTGATAGATTGATTAGATAAATGCTAGTTTTCTAAAAACAAAATGGCCGCTGTTACTTATAATTAAATATCAAGCAAAAATTAACTTATTAAAATTTTATTTTCGTAAACTATTGGCCAATTCGGACCAAATTCTAATGGAAGAGTCTTTTACTGGTCCTTTGTTTATGTAATATGAACCTCCCTTCCGGTCATGATGGCTTCCATTGAAAATGAAACTTGCTAACTTCTACGTAATGTGGTCTCTGACTGGTTTAAAGGTGTCTCATTGACAATCATACCACATCGTCTTATTTTTATATTAATACAAAATTAGGGTTGGTCCTTAGTTACAAATACCCTTTTCATGTATCATCCTATCTATTGAAATCTAAATTGCTGCTTAATATCAAATCAATATCTATATAGCATTCATGTAGAAAATAATTGCTGGAAATAATAATCGTTTAGAAGGACACGAGGGAATTAAGAACGTTGAAATTTTCAGGTGACAATGATAAATTATTACATTAGTAATCCATAATATGCATATTGCTCCAAACATTAACAATAACATATACATGTGCAATATGTTATAAGCCAATTGAGTATAGAAATATTTATTGCGATTGTTTGAAATTATTTTTTATGTGTGTCGCAGGAATTATAACAATAATATAGTTAATTAAATTTAAGTATATGACTTTATTATTCATAAAGTAAAACACGTCATCATATAATGGCAAGTGAAGTTTTAAATTATTTATTGAAATTTTATCGTTCTTACATCTTTCGTATCATCATGATTATTGTAAACTACAAATAATGTATCGAATAAACTTGGTAACAGGATCTATTTTACAAAGTGCTCTTTTATTGGCAACCAGGGTGTACAAAACATGTTAAATTCAAAGGTTTTTAAAGCTGTTACATTTGAATGAAATAAAGTTTTTCTATAAAATACATGGAAGCCGTATTATTGCTTATCATTTTATTAGATATCGTTTCAATGTTGTCCTTTTGACATGGAAGTCGTATTATTCCTTATCATTTTATTAGATATCGTTTCAGTGTTGTCCTTTTCGCTTGATGACCTGTGTGACGACGATGACAACATATGTAAATATCCACAAATGTCTAAACCCGGAGAGATAATTTATGGACGTTGCCATCGGGATGTTGCACTTCGACGCTTACAAAGAGCAAGTTTTCTCACCTGCCTCAAAGAATGTATGAGAACAGCAAACTGTACTAACATTGGATACAGACGTAACTGGAAATTGTGTGATATCAACGGTGAACCAAATTCGCAACAGAATCTTTTCCAGGAAGATGGTTGTCAATTTTCAAATATTTCCACCTGGTCCAAGGTAAGCTACATGTATTGAACTACAAAAAAGTTCTTTGGATATCATGAATCTGATATAGGAAAAGATTTGTTCATGGATTGTGGAGTTCTACAATGGTCGGTTTAGACAGTGTACATGGACAGGGTTTCGATATCTGCAAGCTGAGACGCACCTGCAGGCACTGAGACTTAAACAATTTTGAAACAAGTTGAACTGTTTTTATGCCCCCGCCGCAGCGAAGGGGGCATTAAGTGTTACCCGTGTCCGTCCGTACGTCCGTCCGTACGTCTTTACGTCTGAACGTAGTTCCAAAATTTGTTTCCGTTCTTTAACTTTAGTTTGCCTCAACCAAACGTTATGAAAGTTACACAATGCGAGTGGGAATTGACAATGAAGGTCGGTTAAAAACAAAACTTTACGACTAAAGAGATGATTTTAGCTTCCCAATTGTGAACTTTCCATTTCTGTCTAGGGGCCAGCTGAAGCCCACCTCCGGGTTCAGAATTTTCTCGCTTTGTTGAAGACCCATTGGTGGCGTTGGGCTGTTTTCTGCTCTTTGGTCGTGTTGTTGTCTCTTTGACACATTCCCAGTTTTCATTCCCATTTTTACTATGTAGCAACATTCCAGCAGCGCCTGCATACAGAGTATATATCTACCAATTGATACGATATTTCAGGGCTTGTATTTCCTATCATGATTTCCTTGATAGACGGTTGCTGCTCGAAAGAAAGCTATTAAACCAAGAGTTCCAAGTGGTTAAGTTGAAATCATCCCTTCGTAAATTTTACGAACGCCATCACGAGTTGGTTGAATGTTATGGAATATCCGTTTCACAGATGATAGCTTACCCTTCCGAAGCACCTAAGATCACCCCTAGTTTTTGGTGGGTTTCGTGTTGCTCGGTCTTTTTGTTTTCTATGTTGTGTTTTGTGTGCTGTCGTTTGTCTGTTTGTCTGTTGGTCTCAAGATTTCTTTTTTAGCCATGGCGTTGTCAGTTTATCGACTTCTGAGTTTGAATGTCCCTTTGGTATCTTTCGCCTCTATCTTATTTTAAAAGGAGAAAACTGAGATTACTATAACACAGTGATTATAGTAATCTAAAAAAAAAAACAATAAAAAATGTTTGTACACAAAATGGAATCTGTCTATGTAGACAAAATTATCATAAATTCAATTTGCAATTGTTAAGAGCCTGTTCTCTTAACAGGTTCTGGTTTTAACAGCTATTACAAACAATTTAGTACATATATAATGTATACTTCCTGTTGATTCTTTAATTAAAAAAGTCAAATAACATACAGTGTTGTTACTGTAATTCATTATCATAATCTAATTAGCCACGAAATAATTTATTACAGTAACACAGAAATGTAATAAAAGTAATAAACATATAAAAACAAATAACTTAACTCAAAAGTATGAATTCGAGAACATGATACATTTACTAAATGAGATTTCTGAATTCTACATTCATACTTTACAGTGTCTTTTCTCTTAGGGGCTTATGTCCTATGTTTTGTTTTTGGTTTTCCTTTAAGTTTTGTAGGGGGTTGCTTTTGTTTGGCTCCCGAAGTACATACAAAGTCAATTGATATTTTAAATTACATGTTTTACTTTTCTTTTGAAAAAAATTAAAACCTGAAGATCATTAAAGGCATCTTCTTAAAATAAAATACATTGATAGAGGTATTGATTTCATCAATTTGACTTTACTTTTAATAACTCTACTTTTGACATAAAAAGAAAAAGTGATAATTGTCATATTAACATTAACTTTCACAAAAGACGGAAGCAGGATAACAGAAAACATTATTTTAACAAGTACAAATAAAGCAAATTTAAATTATTTAAAATATATTTGTATACCTGTTATTAGTACAATTATAATGTTGTCTGATTGCAGGATAAAATCGCCTTTTTACTTTTAAAATTCGTTTTAGTAATATATAATATATATAAAAAAAAGCATATAGAAAATTTTTAATTTTTATTGATTTTTTTTCTCTAGAAATTAGCTGGAAAGTGTGTTGCACATAAATGTGAAGATGGATACAAATGTATTCCAAACCAAACTTCAGTTTCATGTGAGCTAGCATGTAAGTAGAAAAACTAATGAATAGTCAACTTAAGTACGTATAGTAATAAATTAAATGATAATGATAATGATAATGATAATGATAACGATAAAAATATTAATAATATTTTTTTCAACTAGCTCTATTGAATCAATAACAATTACAATGATAAAGAAATATTAAAAAAGTATAAAGAAAATACACCTAAAAAATAGTAATAATTTGAAAAAAATAAATGAAAATAACAAAAGAGAGGGAAAACGAATTCCATTTATTTTCATGGCCACTGTTACTGTCACTGTGTCAACTCTATGTCCAAAAGTATTGACATGTACTTAACGCTTTACTCCTAAATATTGCATGTTGTCTAGTTTGTCAGACTTTCAAGACCAAGACATTTCTATAATTGAAAATTACCATTTTTCGTTTCTTGGGTTTTAGATTGTTCTGGAAATCCTGATGTTACGAATGCAACATCAAAGGAAACGTTTGGAATATTTAGAGAACTTGGATATGCAATGATGTATGGATGTAATAAAGGACATAAAATTCGTGGTAGACCGTTCGCTGTCTGTCAGAGATCTGGAACTTGGAAAACCTTGTTTATTTGTGGTATTACTTATCATTTTCGATAAATTATCAGACAAGTCTCACAAAAAAAGCTAAAAATAAGAAACAAAAAGCAAGACTATGTGACAGTAGGACACCTTGTCCCGTTTCAACTATCTTAGTATGTCCATATTCAGTGAACAGTGAAATTTTATTATATACCCTTATTTGGCATTTGTATTAAAACCGTTCACTATAATGGTTTACTTTTATAAATTGTTACTAGGATGGAGAGTTGTCTCATTGACACTCATACCACATCTTCTTATATCTACATAAATTAAATAATGAGCATATTTACTAAGTTTCAAATTGATGTGATCTCTAATTACCTTAAACCAACCTTTAGTCCACATTCAACCAAAATTTCAATCTGATCCGGGACAGACGGCCGGACTGGCACACAGACCGAAAACAAAATGCCCCTCGAATATTAATAATGGGATATACACAAGAAATTGGAGCTTGTAAATGAAAATTCTAATAAAAAATATGAAATACACACAAAAACCATTTGCCTGTTGTATATTTTCAAAACAGGGCCAGGTCAATGAATGTATCATCATTTGTATGACCTAAGATATTTCTGTGGCTTATCTTTGGATGTAAAACAAAGCTATTTTATGATGGTCCTACATTGTGTACATAAGATCGTCCTAAGACTAATTGCATCCTCCTCCTCCTCCTTATATTATCCTTATCCTCCTGAAAAACATCCCTTTCATCACCCTTTTTTTCAATGCGTCTTTAAGCAAATGAACTGTTTTATATTTCAGTAGATAGGTAAATATGCAAATTAAAACTAGTTCACAATAAAAAATGAATCCAAACTAGGCTGTTATCGTATTTGGTCATTTGCGAAATAAATTGATAAAATTTGAGATAATTACTGTAATTTGATTTTTTTTGGTGGTGGGGTGAAATTATTACATGTATACCAGTCAAAATTTCTTTGTCGATAGAATATGATATAAATGTCATTTCTACATTTAGGTGAAGGGGCTATAGTATCACATCGTAAGACAACTGGACAAAGTTCTATGTGGTCATGTTCGAGTCCTTATTACTGTAACTCTGATGCTGGTGTCGATGGAATCAAAAGTGTTCACAACATCTTTCACACAGATGCTGAAACCAGGCCTATGTGGTGGGTCGACCTTGAACGAGTCTATAAAATTCATAAAGTGGTCCTCACAAATGCCATGAACAGCTATGGTAAGTAACTAAAATGTTTATTGAAAAAAGTTATATGAAATCATCCTCTTTTAGAATAAAAAAGCAGATCTCACAAAACATGTTTAACCCCGCCGCATTTTTGGAGCCTCTGGCCTTACGGTAAGTCTTACATGCTTTTCAATTTTAGTTCATTTATGTGTTTTGGAGTTGAGTGTGACGTCAATTTTCATTGAACTAGTACACATTTTGATTAGGGGCCAGCTGAAGCCCGCCTCCGGGTGCTGGATTTTCTCGTTGTGTTGAAGACCCATTGTTGGCCTTGGGCTGTTTTCTGCTCTTTGGTCGGGTTGTTGTCTCTTTGACACATTCCCCATTTTCATTCTAAATTTTATTAATAAGATACATTCTTTGAAAAAATATACCGATGTCGAATAAATATCGTGAAATCGTTTTGAAACTAAAGCAGCTTAAACTGACGGGTCATGTTCAATATCTAATAAAAGAGATAAGCCAAAATTTAGGAAAATGTACAAATTTCTATCAAACCGTATCATTAAAATTTCAAAACGCTTGCCTTTAAATTAGCTAAATGATATGTATGATAGAAATATGATCACAATAAGTTTATGCATTAGTAATTTGTTTTAGTTTCACAATTCACTATATCAATTACATTCTTCCATCCAACGAACATGTTAATTGCTTTCGTCTTGGTTACATCCTTCTAATCTATTACAATTGTTGCGGATATTTCAGTTTGTATTTAACATCTTTATAACAATTTTGAAGTCGAAATGTTAAAAAGCACACAAACGATAGAATATAAAAATGTTCAGTGTCTCATTATAACGACAGTGGGTAAAGAATTTAGGTCAAATTGCCGCTCGTACTGGAACCTTAATTCTCAAATCTCTCGGGGAAATACACACGAATAACTAATAACCTTACATAACTGAAAGTCGAATGGTGTTGTTGCAATAATGTGGTTTAACCTTAATTTTCTATCAATACATTGTTTTGGAGAAATTTTTGATAAAATGTTGAAGGATGTTTATCGTTTATATCTTGTTTTGTTAAAAAAAAGTTAATAACCAAAGCAATTTGAACTGTAATCTGAATTATGTCTCATTAGAAACCTCTCCAAATAAAGTAAGTGATTTGCAAAAAAATATCAGATAAGATCATTATTTTCTTCATATTTCCAAAAATGTTTATATCTACATGTATATCACTATTATCTATCATTATACATTACAGCGTATCGACTTAAAAAACTGGAAGTTCATATAGAAAAGAGTACGAATCAAAAAGAACTGTGTGGTACACACGATTTCATTGGTTCTGCAACAGCAGGCGAAGTGATAGAAGTAAAATGTCCAACATTACTTGAAGGACAAAAGGTTATTGTAACAATGATTAATGAAACGCCAATTAATTTCCATCTTACTGAAGTTGAAGTTTATGGTGGCTGATGATCTACAGATTTTTATTCAATTTAATAAATTAAATTAGTGCGAAACATTAGTAAAAAAGAAGAAGAAAAAATAGTTTGCAAAATAATTGACAAAGTAATATCTATATTATTTTATTTCATAAATTTCATTTTTAGAGACGGATGTGACTACTTATACTTTCTGGTGTACCGGTAGAAGCCTACATTTTTTCGACATGGTTAGAGAAGCAGTCGGTTCTGTATAAGAACCGGACGGGAGGCGTTAAATCACGCGTTTAAAGTCTGATAAATTTGTATGTAAACTTTCAGCAAGACATATTCTATATTTTAAGCTATCCTACATCGGTGAAATGGAATGACTATAAGCAGTCGGATAAACCAGAATGTAGATGAAATAAAAAAAAAATACAAAGATAGTTAGTTGATTCAGTTTTAGTCATAAATTATGATAGAACAAACTCACCCTCTTGGAAGAATATCTTTTTGGTTGTGCCAAATGCGAAGTTTGACTGATGATCACTGCTGTGGCTAATAGTACATATTGTCTTGTCTGTGTGTAATTTTAATCGTTAAGCTGTTTTTTGGGTAATAGAGTGTAGTCTGTAAATATCTAAAAATATAATTGCAGGTGATAGTGAATAAAATTGCAACCCAACAACACGTGTTAAACATTTTTTATGTGTTTTTTTAGTAGAGAGTCAATTAATTATTTCTAATGGTTACCTGAAACAAATATTACAACCACCACACTTTTTGATGAGTTTTAATAACTTAACCACATAGGTCCAAGTAAATTGGCTTGTTCAAAAATGAAAATAACACTTTATAAAAAAAAATGATTTTCGGCCGAAGAGCTTTTCCGGCTTTACGTTCATAAGGAACGCACAAAACCAATTATTTGAAAGTGAAGGATCTATAAGACACGGAAGTTGTGAAGAGCTATATGACAATTATGGGACCTAAAATAATAGCCGACTCAGTTTAACATCAACTAGCTGTGCCTTGGGAAGTCGGAATCATTGTTTCTTAATATTTTTTTAATTTATCAACAAGTAAATTATCTTCGAATTGTATTTTCAAGAGCCTAACTCCTTTAGGCTCACAATGGCATGTGATTATCCAAAGTATACGATACATGCGTTAAATATGGTTAGTCAGAATCATTTTTACAACTCGAATGTTAATTTGAATATAATCAAACATTTTGTTGTAACATTTGTTCGTAGAATGAAATATCAAGTTATAAAAAGTAACAAAATCGGTTGCAATTTTCAAGGTTATATATAAAAAGAAGATGTGGTATGATTGCCAATGAGACAACTCTCCACAATAGACCAAATGACACAGAAATTAACAACTATAGGTCACCTTACGCCCTTCAGCAATGAGCAAAGCCCATACCGCATAGTCAGCTATAAAAAGCCCCGAAATGACAAATGTAAAACAATTCAAACGAGAAAACTAACGGCCTAATCTATGTACAAAATAATGAACGAAAAACGAATATGAAACACAGCAACAAACGACAACCACTGATTTACAGATTCTTGACTTGGGACAGGCACATACAGAATGAGGCGGGGTTAAACTAGTTTGAAGGCGCCAACCCTCCCCCTAATCTGGGACATTGGTTTAACAGAACAACATAAGAACAAACTATAAAAATCAGTTAAAAAGGCTTAACTCATCAGATGAATACAAATAGAAATACATCCAACAAAAACACAAAGTGGACGTGGACGGGTACTTGTACATCTCAACAACAAAAAGACACTTAGCACAGATCTGAGAGTACTCGCAGTTAGTAACAGCTAGTTCAAAGCCAATAACAACTAATAAAAAACATCATGCATCTAAGACTAAATTATAAATCCGTACACATCCAACATCCAATAGATTTAGTGTAAAGACGTCATAAACAGTCAGAGAAAAACATGACCTTGTGCAATGCCAAATACCGGTGTCGATAGATTGTAGAGCCATGAATGTGCATATGTATATAACAATAATATTTAGTTTGATTTTAATTTATTGATAACAAAATCAATATTAATACCAATAAAAAAATATTCAAAGATTTAATTACAGTGTTGAATTGGTAACCTTTTCGAATAAGTTTATCTAAAGGATCGATAAGTTTACCGGGATCATTTCTAAATTTCCGGGCTCGGAAAACAACATCTCCGTAAAAATGAGGATGTGCTATCCCGTTTGAAATAAGTTTTCTACAGGTACAACCAAACTTCAAAACCAAATCTTTATATCTATGGACGAATTTAGTTAAGGTTTTAAGTAATTTATGGTAACGAAATCCCTAATTTAATAAACGAGTTGTGATATATAAAGTTTAACACCGTAAGATGGTGCCAAAGGAACATCACCATTCAAAAAAGGAAAAAAAATAATAGGGAACGAACAATCGTCCCTTTTGTCGTAAATTTTAGTGTAGAGTTTCCTGTGTAAACTGAAATATCTAAATCTAGGAAAGGACAGTTATTACCGTTCATATTTGATTATTTAAAGTAAGTTCCTTTGGGCAGTATATTTAGAAAATTCTTGATTATTTAACGAAAGAATATCACCAAGATAACGGTAAGTGTTGTTGAATTTATCAATTAAGTGCAATTTAGACGGGTTTTTACTGAGTTTGGTCATAAACTGTGATTCATAACAGTACAAGAACAAGTCTGCTATTAAAGGGGCGCAATTGGTGCCCATAGGAATACCTACAACCCGTCGATACACTTTATTGCCGAAACGTACATAAATATTATCAGGAGAAAATTGTCAGCTTCAATCATCTCATCACACCTCTAGTAAGTATATCTAGCATATTTACCTTTCTCATTAGGGAAGAAGGCTTGAAGTGAGTTGAAGCAAATATATTTGCATTCAGATTTACCAAACGACCATTTAATTAAATAGGAAAACTTTTGTTTGATAAGATTGTGTGGAAGTGTAGTGTAAAGAGTTGAATAGTCAAAACTGTCAATAGAATCAAAAGGACCATCAAAAGCACGTAATTTATCTAAAACATCCAAAGAATTGTTTACACTCCAAAAATAGTTAATTCCACTTTTTTCATATATTCTATTACAAAAGCTAATGATAAGTTATTTGATAGTAGTTAAGAAACTAGTTAAAAGCACTAAAAGATTAGTTGTAGAACACTTACTAGAGGCCGAGATGAAACGATATTTTACTGTTTTTTTTTATGTTTGGTTTAGGTAACCAATACATAGCAGGGACCTTCAAATGTTCAGAAGAGGCCTTAAGCTGTGATGTGGTTATGATATGTTTGTTTACTATATGACTCTCTGTGGAGCGCACGGACTTGAATGTAGATGAATTTAAAATTTCATTCCTAAGAACGTCCGTGTAATATTTACGGCATACCACCACCACATTGTTGGCTGCTTTGTCGGTCGGTACAAACAAAAACCGCTTTGAAAGTACTTGAAGTTTGTTTCTTATTCTAGAAATAGGCGCTTTATGTACTCTTTCATTTATTTCTGAATTATTTTCAAAACGTGATATTCAAATATCAACAACATTCATGCATGAATTCTCATAAACTGAGTTTTACTGTGCGTACTGTTGTACGTTTGTTTTTTCTACATTGGCTAGAGGTATGGGGGAGGGGGGAGATATCAAAAAACATGTTTAACTACGCCGCATTTTTGCGCCTTTCCCAAGTCAGGAGCCTCTGGCCTTTGTTAGTCTTGTATCATTTTTAATTTTAGTTTCTTGTGTATAATTTGGAGTTTAGATGTTTAGTATGACGTCCATTATCACTGAACTAGTATACATATTTGTTTAGGGGCCAGCTGAAGGACGCCTCCGGGTGCGGGAGTTTCTCGTTGCATTGAAGACCCATTGGTGGCTTTCGGCTGTTGTCTGCTCTATGGTCGTTATTTACATTCAGCCCCATTCTCCTATTTAGTCAAACGTCAGTCGCTACCCTGATATACCCTATCTTTTGTTTTATTTTTCGGGTAATTTATGACGGATAGTTTGACGTCTTTAGTCGAACAGTTTTATCATATTCACATAATTCAATTTAATGTGTGCTGATTCATATTCTGGACGCCAGTCTTTGCTCCTTTCTAATAAAATCCACATAACAAAAAACAAATATGAAGCTTAGAAATGAAAAAAATATTAAATACTAAACTCGTTCAAAGGGTATCTACACGTCTCAATCTTCAAAATCGCTTATCTGAAAATACTACCATCGCTAACATTTTTACAATAAAAATCGTGGTTACCCTTCTATCGATAAGTGTCATGCCAAAAAATGACTTACATGTCCCTGTCTTGCCACCAACAATACGGTAAGGTCTACGTTTAATGGTCGCACATATTCTTTAAATTTTGAAACTGATATAATTTGAAAATCAAACAGTATTATTTATTTACTCACATGAAACAAACCGGGATGCGGTATTCATTACGTAGGTGAAACTTAACGATATTTATCTAAACGCAAGCAAGAACACCTGTATCGTTTTAAAAGACCCAATAAATTCAAAAGTATCATTTATCAACATCTTAAAAAGCACAGTCATCCTATTAAATATTTAACAGTTCAACCTTTAGAAGTAGTAAATAAGCAGCCTGGTGAATCTCATTCAAAGTTTGTACGATCACGGAAAATAATTGAATTAAATTGGATTAAAAAATTACAGACAGTCTACCCTCTCGGTCTTAATGATAATATCATGGGAATTGGTAATATATCAAGAACCGATTCTGTTAACATTTTGGATATAGCTTCTAAAACTGTTCCTAAAAACCGTTCTCATGGGCGTAGAAAAAATCGCAATCAAAGAAAATTTCGGACCAACCATACAAATATTTCGGACCTAATTTCTATTTCAAAAAACAACCGCAGACATTATCTATTAACCAAGCTCTGTTCTTTACCTATAAATAAATTAAATAAAATTTTAGAGGATTGCGACACAATTTCATATTGAAGTCCTAAGTATGAAATCGTTCAAATTATAATGGCATATTGTTATTCTAAACTGTTTCCCAAAATTGATCGCCCTGAAGATCATAAAAAAACATTTTATTAAAATAAAGTATGTCAATAAAGGTTTTGATTTTGTAAATATTCCCGGTATTTTTAACGACCATTCTGTTAAAGAACAAATTCCTGGATATTTTGATAATACTGAACTCCCTCTTATTTGTTATATTTACAAGAAATCTACACGAAAATTTGTGTTTAATTATAGCCAAGTCTGTAAAGATGTAAATTTCAGTGAAAATACACCTCCGTCATGTAATTGTAGTAATTCCGAATACACTTATGGCCATTTATAACAGGAGACCTTAACATCATTCGCGACCGAGAGTTAAAATCATTTCTCAGAAAAGGATCTAAATATCGTCCCCCGTCAATTATTAATTGGAATGAGTGTCGTAATATCATCCACGACTCACTTCGTGCTTACTGTTTGAAATGGATAAAACGGGAAAAAGCTGACAAAAAATCTTTGGACTATTTTTCTAATTCAGTAATGAAGATAGTTGATATACGTATACAACATTTTAAAGAACATTTTACTCTTAACAACAACCATAAAAATCCTATTTCTCGTATTAAACATAAACTAAAAGAACTAGCCAAGGAATTTGTTTTTGTCCCGGCTGCATGATAAAGCTGCTAATAATATTATTATAGTTTGACGTAAATTTTACATTGAGGTTCTGCAAAAGGAAATCACGAATTCACCAACATTCCAACTGACTTCATTTTCAGAAAACGATATCTGTAACAAACATAAACTATTAGCTACTTCTTTACAAGCAGAACCAAATACAATGAAAGTCCCAACTATGTACTGGCTTCCGAAGCTACACAAATCACCTTACAAATATAGATTTATTTCGTCTTCAAGTCATTGTTCCACTACTAAATTGTCTATTCTACTTACTAGTACACTTGGTACAATCAAAAACCTGATAATAAATTGATCAAATACGGCCTTTGAAAATAGTGGAATTAACTACTTTTGGAGTGTCAAAAACTCGTTGGAAGTACTTGATAAAATGCATGCTAAATTGGTGATTTTGAATCTGTTCAAAGTTTTGATTTTTCTACCCTATATACCACTTTGCCTCATATTCTTATTAAGAAAAAAATCACACTACTAATTAAATGGGCATATAAAAAGTCGGAATGCGAATACATATGTTCAAACTCTTTTAGGTCATTTTTAGTAGCAACAAACAAAAGAGCT